TAGATCTATTGTCTATGGTGTTTAAATCCTTAATTCCAAGACAGATGTCTGGCTGTAAAGTTGATATTAATGTCCTGTTTTGTTGTATTATAATACACTGTGCGAGTACTGTAGAATCATTTATTTTCGTGGGGTTAAAGTTACATGATTTTCATATACTAGCCTGTTCTAAGGACATTATATTTTGTTGATTTCTGATCTTCCCCTATCTATAACATACCAAATTGATGTTTTCGTGGGGATTTCATTTCGTGGATTTTTGTTATCCACGAAATAAACGAAATTTAATGTCCCACGAAAATTTAGGATTTTACAGTATGTGTAAATTAAAGTCAATGATATCAGCCAACTATCATTTAACATTTTTATCCAGGATGAATCCGTGGATGAATGAGTTGGTTTCACCTTCTAATGTTGATATCCCAATATTGAAGGCAGAAACTCCTTCGGAGACGTGCACATAGAGTGATTGGAGTCCAGGTATTTACTTGGTGTTTACACATGTACACTGTTGGATGATGTAAGGCTCAAAATGCTGTGAGGCATGAAATGATATAAATGTCAAAAACATTCTTTCACTTCCATTTAAAGTGTACCGGACATCCTGGTTCACAAGGCGTGGTGTCTGGGGTCTCATTTTGATACACTTGTTGATAGGTTAAAGCACATCTATTGACAGATGTAAATCTTATTTTGAGTCGATGCAGTGTACAGAAATGTAAATGTATTTCACAGTATTTTTAGGGAAAATGCATCTTATATTCCACTAGCAAGTAGACAGTTGTAAATATTTGAGAAGTCTGCAGGGTATTGAGCGATAATCACAATATGTGATTTACACTAAAACTAAGGTGAGTCCAGCTAAGTAACAAAGAAACTTTATAAGGCATTGTTGGATTGACTGCCCTTCAGGATGCTAGGCTATATAGGTGTCATGAATGCTTGTGTAATAGGACGAAGAATAGTGATAAAGATAGTGCCGTCGCTGGGGCTCGAACCCGCGACCCTTGGCTCTCCAGCCAGTCTGAGGCTCTACCACAGAGCTAAAGGGAAATTCCCTCCGGCTGACGCTTGTAAGGCAACCTAATTAATCCACATCTTTTACACTTGCAAGAAAAACCAAACAACAACCTATATTTAATTTTGAACCTAGTTTTACAGCCAAATGGAGGCTGCTCCCCCAGCAAACCTTCCTTTATTTTCCCAAAATGAAGAATGAAAAAAATAAATAACATCTTCCTAATTTCAATAAAAATAATGCTATGTTTTTCCAATTCATGTACAGAGGCTTAGCACTGTAAAATTCAGATAGAAAAAACACTGCAGCATAAAGTTGCAATTTTTCCTTTCAAGTTGGTGTTTCACTACTGTTTTGATGTCAATGTCCTGGTATGTGATCAAAGTTCCCCACCCTATAGACATCTATGTAAATATATGCAATTTTCCAATACTTTGTGACATAATTTGTTAGATTTATAACTAAACTACCAGTATTTGATATGTGGTAAAGCCAGGTAATGTATAATGTATTGTAATGTTTGGTGGCAGTGTAGTTATACTTATGTAAGGCTAGTTACCGGTGGTTAGGGAAGGTGCATTGACCTACAGGATTTCCCAGGGTATGGGGAGGGCATTGTTACACAGGGAGGACCAACAGGATTCCCCAGGGTTAGGGAAGGTGCATTGATACACAGGCAGGACCTACAGGATTCCCCAGGCTTAGGGAAGGTGCATTGATCCACAGGGAGGACCTACAGGATTCCCCAGGGTTAGAGAAGGTGCATTGATACACAGGGATGACCTACAGGATTCCCCAGGGTTAGGGAAGGTGCATTGATACACAGGGAGGACCTACAGGATTCCCCAGGGTTAGAGAAGGTGCATTGATACACAGGGATGACCTACAGGATTCCCCAGGGTTAGGGAAGGTGCATTGATACACAGGGAGGACCTACAGGATTCCCCAGGGGTTGGGAAGGTGCATTGATACACAGGGAGGACCTACTGGATTCCCCAGGGTTAGGGAAGGTGCATTGATACACATGGGGGACTTACAGGATTCCCCAGGGTTAGGGAAGGTGCATTGATCCACAGGGAGGACCTACAGGATTCCCCAGGGTTAGAGAAGGTGCATTGATACACAGGGATGACCTACAGGATTCCCCAGGGTTAGGGAAGGGGCATTGATACACAGGGAGGACCAACAGGATTCCCCAGGGTTGGGGAAGGTGCATTGATACACAGGGAGGACCAACAGGATTCCCCAGGGTTGGGGAAGGTGCATTGATACACAGGGAGGACCTACTGGATTCCCCAGGGTTAGGGAAGGTGCATTGATACAGCGGGAGGACCTACAGGATTCCCCAGGGTTAGGGAAGGTGCATTGATCCACAGGGAGGACCTACAGGATTCCCCAGGGATAGGGAAGGAGCATTGATACACAGGGAGGACCTACAGGATTCCCCAAGGGTAGGGAAAGTGCATTGATACACAGGGAGGACCTACAGGATTCCTCATGGTTAGGGAAGGTGCATTGATACACAGGGAGGACCTCCAGGATTCCCCAGGTATAGGAAAGGTGCTTGGTACACAGGGAGGACCTACAGGATTCCCCAGGGTTAGAGAAGGTGCATTGATACACAGGGAGGACCTACAGGATATACACAGGGTTAGGGAAGGTGCATTGATACACAGGGAGGACCAACAGGATTCCACAGGGTTGGGGAAGGTGCATTGATACACAGGGAGGACCTACATGATTCCCCAGGGTTAGGGAAGGGGCATTGATACACAGGGAGGACCAACAGGATTCCCCAGGGTTGGGGAAGGTGCATTGATACACAGGGAGGACCAACAGGATTCCACAGGGTTGGGGAAGGTGCATTGATACACAGGGAGGACCTACATGATTCCCCAGGGTTAGGGAAGGGGCATTGATACACAGGGAGGACCTACAGGATTCCCCAAGGGTAGGGAAAGTGCATTGATACACAGGGAGGACCTACAGGATTCCCCAGGAGGGAAGGTGCATTGATACACAGGCAGGACCTACAGGATTCCCCAGGCTTAGGGAAGGTGCATTGATACACATGGAGGACTTACAGGATTCCCCAGGGTTAGGGAAGGTGCATTGATCCACAGGGAGGACCTACAGGATTCCCCAGGGTTAGAGAAGGTGCATTGATACACAGGGATGACCTACAGGATTCCCCAGGGTTAGGGAAGGTGCATTGATACACATGGTGGACTTACAGTATTCCCCAGGGTTAGGGAAGGTGCATTGATCCACAGGGAGGGCCTACATGATTCCCCAGGGTTAGGGAAGGTGCATTGATACACAGGGAGGGCCTACATGATTCCCCAGGCTTAGGGAAGGTGCCTTGATACACATGGTGGACTTACAGGATTCCCCAGGGTTAGGGAAGGAGCATTGATACACAGGGAGGGCCTACATGATTCCCCAGGCTTAGGGAAGGTGCCTTGATACACATGGTGGACTTACAGGATTCCCCAGGGTTAGGGAAGGTGCATTGATCCACAGGGAGGGCCTACATGATTCCCCAGGCTTAGGGAAGGTGCATTGATACACATGGTGGACTTACAGGATTCCCCAGGGTTAGGGAAGGTGCATTGATACACAGGGAGGGCCTACATGATTCCCCAGGGTAAGGGAAGGTGCATTGATACACAGGGAGGACCTACAGGATTGCCCAGGGTTAGGGAAGGTGCATTGATACACAGGGAGGACCTACAGGATTCCCCAAGGGTAGGGAAGGTGCATTGATACACAGGGAGGACCTACATGATTCCCCAGGGTTAGGGAAGGTGCATTGTTACACAGGGAGGGCCTACATGATTCCCCAGGGGAAGGGAAGGTGCATTGATACACAGGGAGGACGTACAGGATTCCCCAGGGTTAGGGAAGGTGGATTGATTCACAGAGAGGACCTTCAGGATTCCCCAGGGTTAGGGAAGGTGCATTTATACACAGGGAGGACCTACAGGATTCCCCAAGGTTAGGGAAGGTGCATTGATACACAGGGAGGACCTACAGGATTCCCTAGGGTTAGGGAAGGAGCATTGAAACACAGGGAGGACCTACAGGATTCCCCAGGGATAGGGAAGGTGCATTGATACACAGGGATGACCTACATGGTTCCCCAGGGTTAGGGAAGGGGCATTGATACACAGGGAGGACCTACAGGATTGCCCAGGATTAGGGAAGGTGCATTGATACACAGAGAAGACCTACAGGATTCCCCAGGGTTAGGGAAGGGGCATTGATACACAGGGATGACCTACATGGTTCCCCAGGGTTAGGGAAGGTGCATTGATCCACAGGGAGGGCCTACATGATTCCCCAGGGTAAGGGAAGGGGCATTGATACACAGGGAGGACCTACAGGATTGCCCAGGATTAGGGAAGGTGCATTGATACACAGGGAGGACGTACAGGATTCCCCAGGGTTAGGGAAGGTGGATTGATTCACAGAGAGGACCTTCAGGATTCCCCAGGGTTAGGGAAGGTGCATTGTTACACAGGGAGGGCCTACATGATTCCCCAGGGGAAGGGAAGGTGCATTGATACACAGGGAGGACCTACAGGTTTCCCCAGGGTTAGGGAAGGTGCATTGATCCACAGGGAGGGCCTACATGATTCCCCAGGGTAAGGGAAGGTGCATTGATACACAGGGAGGACCTACATGATTCCCCAGGGTTAGGGAAGGTGCATTGTTACACAGGGAGGGCCTACATGATTCCCCAGGGGAAGGGAAGGTGCATTGATACACAGGGAGGACCTACAGGTTTCCCCAGGGTTAGGGAAGGTGCATTGATACGCAGGGAGGACCTACAGGATTCCCCAGGGTAAGGGAAGGTGCATTGATACACAGGGAGGACCTACAGGATATACACAGGGATAGGGAAGGTGCATTGATACACAGGGAGGACCTACAGGATTCCTCATGGTTAGGGAAGGTGCATTGAGACACAGGGCGGACCTACAGGATTCCCCAGGGTTAGGTGGGTGCATTCATACACAGGGAGGACCTACAGGATCCCCCAGGGGTAGGGAAGGTGCATTGATACAGCGGGAGGACCTACAGGATTCCCCAGGCCAAGTCCCGGGACGAGACTTTTCGGAGGGGGGATAGTGTAACAGCTAAGGAAGATAAAGGGGAAATACTGCCTTATTGGCAAGCTAGCTTTTCCAGTGATGTGGTATAACCCTGGGACCCGCTCACTAGTTCAGCAACTTTGAGCGTGATCAGTAGCCGGATGGTCGACTGCCCGCACGTTACATAATACTGCATTGATAATAGGTTATTGAAAATGAAGGAATGGTATTGAGGATACAGGCAAATTCTGTCTACAGAGATACACATCCATGAATATTAAGTGTTTTGATATGTATGTTTACAAGTGTGCACTTCATTTATTATTCTAACCTGAGGCTATAGTGTTGATCATATCTTGTAACACGGCCTTTAACTGCTTATATAATGTAAGTAATATTTTAGTCTATTTGAAAGATACTGTGCATGACAAGCTAACATGTAGCTCAGAAGAAAATCACAAAATCTAAAATTAGATTTTTACTTCTGTATTTTGCTTGTTGCACAACTCATTTCATTTGTTAAATTTAATTTAAGTTGAGTTATCGGATATACTGCATTACAATGGAGTCTGTCTGTTTTGGTTTTTGTAAGATAAATTGGATAAATATCATGACATGCTTTTATAAAACTTAGCGGATGGCATATATATACTGGTTACTTTTTATACAGTACTTTTATATTTAAACAGAATTACTTTTTAATACATGTATCATAAATATGTGTTTATCTTTATTGAACAGATCAGAGATGTCGTTTGAAAATCCCAGCAAGAATGAGTCCTCGGGGGATGTACACAAGTTCCCCCTTCGACGTTTACAACCCGCCATACAAAAGTTCCTCAAAGTGGTGGAGATTGACCTGGATAGACTACACAAACATAGACTCAACATAGGGAAGGTAAAATGGCCACCAGATAGCAGCTTCTATACAAGGCAGAAGGTTCTGATGTTTAAATAAGGAAATGAAGTATATCACCAAAGTTGCTGTAGCTGTTCATTCAGACAGGAAAAAAGTTTAAGTTCAAAAATCAAGATAATAAGGTCTTTTTACTAAAATTGATTAATATTTTTTAAAGGATGAATTTCTTTCAAAGGATGACCTGGAAAGAACAAATTTTGCTACTAGTATCTGGCAAGCCTTCATTAGAAAGCTTTGGGAGGTTACTGTCACAATCTGTTTAAGTAATTTGAAAGATCAGTTAATTCTTATGGAGTGATTAAGGTACACTTGTTCATAAATCGCAGCAGTAGAAAAGGAGCTTTTGCAGCTTATAGTCAAAGGTGAAGGTCACAAGGTCATTTAAAGTCAAAGGTCAAGGTCACAAGGCCATTTAAAGTCAAAGGTCAAGGTCACACGGTCACAAGATCTTTTGGATTAAGTTTTTCAATTATATATAAATTTCTCACTATAAGGAATAGAATGTTCTCAAACTTGCTACAACTGTTCTGAAGACGATTAAGCTTTTCCTGAATGTAAAAGTTCCAGGTAAAAAGTACGTCGTTGAAACATTTATTGCACAAAAGTGACGTCGGTGCAGTAAATGTCAGATATATATACATTTGCTTTTCATTCATTTGTTCTAGTTTGCATAACTTCAATTGTTTCATTGATGAATTTTGATCTGTATTGATTGTTCCCCTTAATGCTGTCTTACTGTTAGGTAGCTATAGACTCGTCACACCAACAGTGAGGGATTGTAAATTGTTTTGTTATAGAGCATCAAGCAGCTTTAACTTACTGTAAAAGTGGACATTTTTGCTTTGTGGTACGTGTAGAAATGTTCGCCTTTTTAGCATTGGGTGTATCAGCTTGAAAATATCCACACACAAATATTTTCAATAGATTAAATGTAAATACGATATATACTGATTTCGGAACTATTGCCACATGAAAATTTTCACAGCGCGATCAGTTTAAAGGGTCAGAACGCGAACATTTCCGCAAGTGAAAATTACTATTTTTGCAGTATCTGCAACAAACTATTTACTTTATATATCTTTGTGTTCATTATAAACATGTTTCTAGATGACTTGATCAAACATTACTTATTGGGAATTTGTTTACCAGTATAACAGACTTGAGGACTGGACAAACTTGGACCGAGAACAGGTGAACGCTTCCCGGACCGTCCAGCAGATCATGGCAAACATTCGTGAGATGGAGAAGATGAGGGAACAGGTCAAGGATGATGAAGTCGAGGCGTTTGACGGAAAAACATCAGAAATGAGACAAACAGCCATTGGTGCTATTATGGAGTTTTTAGACCTTGGCCAAGGAAAAGTTGCTCATCAAAATAAAGAAGAAGAGACAGGTATTTTGTTTTGTGTTTTTTTTATTTTTTTAAATTCCAATTACCATTATTATTGTACCAATTAACAAATTTTTAAAAAGAAAATAGAAATGATGAGCAACAACACCACTGAATCCGGTACAAAATGTAATGTTTGATTTTCATCTTAAGTGCTGACATGTTTCGGCCAAAGGGAGGCCGTCTTCAGAGCACAGTTACATGATGTTTGCAACTATGATACAATGACAATAAAGGTCATGTGACTAGAACAATTTTTTTTTTTTTATTAAAAAAGCTTGATTGTATAGACCCAATGTAAGGATGTATCATAGCTTGTTATAATCAATCACCAGAGAAAATCGTGTATTACTGTAGCTTTGCTGTGTTTTCAATAAGATTCATCAGTTTGGAAATATGTGATAATATCAAAGTTTTACTTTACACTCAAACAATGTACGCGCAGTGTATCAAACGTGTCGCAACCTATTCAATACAGTGTGTGTGCACGCTTTCGCTCTCTATCCATAAGCAAGACATCCCAGGACATGTAATATATACGATTTTGTCATATTGTTGTACAGGTAAACAATACAAATTGCTCACTCAGTCATAGCTTGACAAAGGGACCAGTCAGTCTTGAAACGTTGTGACACGTTTAATACATACATTGTTTGCTTATAAAGTTAAAATTTGATATTGCTTTTCTGTGTTGTTTTTTTCATCACAAGTAGTGCCAGAGGGCTGGGATAATCCTGGAGGGGGCCATTTACTCCTCCATGTTCCAATTTAATTTTGATTTTACATAGGATGGCCCCTCTTAATTTTGATATTGACTAAAAGTTGCTGAAAATGACCCACTGCTCTCAAAGTCCAGGATTTTCCCTAACAGGGGATCAAAGGTTTATCAATGTAATCTGTCACCTACAATTGTCAAATTTTGTACATGTATGTGAGTACCGGTACCTCTGATGGTGGAGTGTCTTGTACTGAAACTAGGTCTTATGCCCCATTATGTATAAAGATTGTAGCAGGGAAGAAAATTAATGCAATGCCAGACTGATTCAAACCTGGTACATCTCAACTCTAGACAGACGTTTTAACCAATAGAGCTACCTGGCCCCAGTTACTCAAAGGTTGGAAATTCAACTCATTGCCAATTAGAAGCAATGGCTTTCCAAGCAAAATAATCGTATTTTTTTTCTTGTCTGAACAAACTGTAGCAGTGAAAAGATGTTCTTTATTTGGTTGTATTCAAATTTAAAATTTTCCCCTTACCACTGGTAAACTCTACCCAGGCTTTGCGCAATTAAGGCCTGGTTGCCAGCATTCCTCCCTCCTTTCTCTAAGTCTCTGCCCTGGAGGACAACTCTATTTACAAGCAAGGTTTGGTTGCCAGGTATCGACCCAGTCTAGTTTCACTGCATTCCTCCCTCCTTTCACTAAGTCTCTGACTTGGAAGACAACTCTATTTACAAGCAAGGTTTGGTTGCCAAGCATTCACTAAGAACTTGAAACAAGGTCACATGGCACTACTGTAACAGGAAATGTATAATTACACTTCAAGACCGGGATTTGAACCTGGGACCTCCAAACTCTGGACAGATGCTTTAACCAATAACCTCCCTGGTAACGGGCAATCAACCCAGTCCAGTTCTGCTACGCAGTTATGGCCCTTTGTTTATTTTTATTGATATCAAAAATGGTCCACAGATGGAGGATAATGCATGCTTGTTATACTTCACTGTATGAGTTCAGTTTCAATGATATGAAAATCAAATGCTGCCCTGTCCAAGTAAACTGTAAAACACATTAGCTGACATCAACTCTCAACTTGTGATTTTATTTTTCTTCTTCTGATAGACTGCCATAAATTTGTCACTTGGGATTCCCAACACATTGCACACTCACTTCATAATTTTGTTAAGTATATTTGATCAAAAATCATAACATTAATATTTTGATGACATGTGATTTTGATACAAGCTGATTAAATCTTCAGTCATTTCAAAACTATGCAATTCTAAAGTGTCAGTATATTTCTCATTGAGATCTGTGTTTTTCTACAGGATTCTCCGACTCTGGGGAAGCCCAGTTCCTCCTAAGTTCACCGAGTTCGTCGGCCCCGGTGACGCCTCAGCGAGAATTCACCCTGGTAGCACAGAGTCTCCCTCCTGACCTCGGGAAGTCACAGGCCCAGCTGAACTCACTCCCGAAGGACTCGGCCGCTCAGGAGTCATGGGACAACCTTCACGAGGTCAGTGACCGCTGGTCAAACTTTGACCATTCAAGTCATAAAGGAATGACCGGTTTAACTCATTCACCCCTACATGTCTAAACTGGACTTGCCCAATCTTTGATTTCGTAAGGTTCAAATGTGACTTTAGTGATGAATGGGTTAAAGAATTATGTGTAAAGTTTGAACAGTCAAATATTCCTGCAGAGTAGATTTTTAAGACCTGGACCGATATTTTTGAGACCTGGACCGATATTTATGAAACCGTTCTCATGTTTAAGCATCAATTCTGTGCCCCCTTTCTTGTTACTTGCTTACATCATGTGACACAGTCAAACATCATGTGTTTACATTGAAAATGGTATTTGTTTTTAAGTGTGGTCAAAACTTTTTCAAATCGGAACGAGAAAGTGGGCTTTATCACAGAATCTGAATCTGAGCATGGAAATGGTTTCATGAACACTGGCCCGGGACTTGTATTTTCTGACAAGTTAAAATCATTTAAGATTCAAATAAATCTCTAATAACCCACTTTGAACTCATAGAAAATATTTCTACAGAAATGTCTGTTTGAACATGAGCGTTTACTAATGGTTAACATTTCAAATACTGGAAACTAAGAATGGAAAAAGATGAAGATGAAAAAATAGACCGATAAACCAACCAATTGATCTATATATACATAAACTTCAATTCCTTTTAATTGGCTTCACTTTTTTGTGGTGTACTTTATGGCATAAATAGAAAAATATTTTTTGAGAATGTTTTTGAGAAATACCTTTTGTCAGTGTATTCAAAAGTTTCATTTTTGACAAAAAATAATGCATGTTAATATTTATATTGTTCATATTTAACTAGCAAGAAATGAGTATTACAAAATCATCACAAAAAAAATTAAAAAAACCCTGAACAATGCTTGCAATAGTGTAATACTCACTTCATCAATCAGTCAGGGATTAATGTCACTTAGCAATGATGCTCGATCATTTGACACAGAATATTCTTGTTTTCTATAATGTGTTAGCATCCCCAATACATACCCTTGTGTTTACCTACAGAATCTGGTCGACCTAAATTCCATGATTCATGAATTTGCAACTGCAGTCCAGGTAAGACCTTACCTATTTACTCCTTTACGACTCTATTGGGATTACATGATTCTCCTGGGAGCAGGTATTGATTGTTACGCCATTTGTTTGTGAGAGTAACGTCATCAATTTTTGAGAAAACGACGTAATTTTCTCACACAAACAAATGACGTAACACTCAATACCTGCTCACAAGAGAAGATAACTCTGCAATATGCAAAGACGGAATAGATTACAGCATGTAACATCGTCTGTCAGATATTTCCGAAAGTAGCGCTTAGCTCTTCATGATTTCGGTCAACTTTGGGCAAAGAGTGGCACGAAGAGGCACGGCAATTTTTTTTATCATTTTAAGAGTAAATTTGTACGTTTCATGATCTCTTTACCAAGGTTATATTCCAAATGGTAAGCAGAAAGGTTTTTTTCCAAAATGAAAATGTAAATTATAATATCACACATTTTCAAATTCTAGACTTGCACAAGTCTGCCAAAACTTGCTAACAACTAGGAAACATGAAGGTAGGCCCTACATCAAGTGAAGAAATGACTGGTTGCCATGGCGCCATGGGTTAATGGTGTGGCGCCACACTTCTGAAGCCATTTTGTGTGGCTCCTGACACGCTGATGTGTGTTCCAAAGTTTTATTTCAAATAAATTAAATGATTAAAAAAAAAATCATTTTAAGACCAAGAGTGGTAACTTTCAAATAAACAATTACATTTACATGTAGCTTTTTGTAGTGTTAGCTAGCTAGCCTAAAAGATTCTTATAAAAGTTTGTTTCAATGTGACCTTGTGCTTAAACATTGTGACTTGAGCATCTTTATATCCTGGCCAAGAATTATGTAATGCAACATTTTCTTTGGAAAAATAGGGACAGTATTACTAGGTTTTACTGACAAATAATGACAGTTTTACAAGAATTTACTGTTCTTCAAAGCTACACCATAACTTTGATATTTCATGATCACCTGCTGTAAGGAAGGTTAATATTATTCAAGCTGATTAATTTCAGGCCTCATGAGTCGTGAAAATGTTCGAAATTTCAGCTACCAAATGATTTTCACACAGAAATTGTATTGATACGGTAGTAACAAAACTACAAGTTATATGAATGTTAATTATTAGGTTAGCCTGCTATGGCGAGTGTAATCTGCGATCAGACCAACAGTACACAAACTACGTCCATATAGCGGCTTGCCAAAGTGTAGACTACATTCAGTATTGTCACGAACGACAGCTCATCACCTTCGGGCGAGTCGACCTGCTCACCGAGCCTACAGAAAAGTCAGCTAGACCTCTCTACAAATGCTTGTTCACAACACAGTCTTCCCCGTTTTAAAATAGAAGCCTTTCTCATCCAAGAACCCCCACACAGAAGCTTCAATCACCTGCCTCCTTGCAACAGCCTGAAGTTGAGCCCCTGAAGTGCAAAAGTCTTTTAGGAGGAGGCCTCTTACTAGCAGCACATTCTGGATCTCTGTCTGGAGAGGACAGACCCGTGCCTGTCATCCTATCAGATGGTGAATTTTCATCCTCTTCAACGTTGTCCAGTTCCAACGTTTCTCTGCCAATGGCGGAGGATCTGAATCCTCCACAACACCATTGCTGCGACTAGATATGTCCCCTGTAACTAGTACCTCAACTTGCTCTCCACTCAAGACAGTATATTCCAAATGCAGTGGAGCACAAAGTCCCCAATACCATATGATCCTTGCCGACTGCGTAGATCATACCTCCTTTTTGTATGGCCTGCAAGGATTTAAGACTGCTTCGAGCAAGCGCATGCACCTCCTTCATATCAATGGCCATAATTTGTATGAAGTCTTAGGTTGATGCGTTGATATTGAGAAACATGTTTAAATTACATCCCGTTCAAAACCGGCACAAAGCTTATAACAATATCAACTAAGTGTGAACTCACAACATGAATGCCTTGTGGCTATAACACTGACGCGTGGCATTGTTATGAATAGTTACCGTTGTGTGTATAGGTAAAAGGGTACAGAGATGTTTATAGCTGTAAATCATGGTTAATTCTGACACCAATTGTAGTAAGAAGTTATATGAACGTTAATTATTAGGTTAACCTGCTACGGCGAGTGTAATCTACAATCGGATCAACAGTACGCAAAATACGTCCGTATAGTGGCTAGACAACCTTCAGTATTGTCAGGAATGACAGCACATCACCTTTGGGCGAGTCGAACTGCTCACCGAGCCTAAAGAGAAGTGTTTTTTTTTAATGTAAGAATATGCAAACTTTAACATATTTATTTGCTTCTCCATAAAAAAGAGTTCAATACTAATAGTTATTCAGCAAAATATGATAAAGTAAATAACACCTTGTTACATTTCTTTCTGAAAAAGTTGTATACATGAATATTCTACTAACTATAGAGAGTATGTAGAGTGATGGTGTTCTTTTGCTGTAGACTCAACAGGAGAACCTGGATGATATACAGGACAATATAGAAAAAGCCCAGGACAATGTAAGGCAGGGGACGCAAACACTAGGAAAGGTAAAGTTTATATAATGACACAAGAACTAGGAAAGGTAAAGTTTATATAGGGACACAAGAACTAGGAAAGGTAAAGTTTATATAGAGACACTAGAACTAGGAAAGGTACAGTTTATATAGGGACACAGGAACTAGGAAAGGTAACGTTTATATAGAGACACAATAACTAGGAAAGGTAGAGTTTATATATAGACACTAGAACTAGGTTAAAGTTCATGTAGGGACACAAGAACTAGGAAAGGTAAAGTTTATATAGGGACACAAGAACTAGGAAAGGTAATGTTTATATAGGGACACAAGAACTAGGAAAGGTAAAGTTTATATAGTGACACAAGAACTAGGGTAAAGTTTATATAGTGACACAAGAACTTGGAAAGGTAAAGTTTATCTAGGGACACCCGACCTAGGAAAGGTAAAGTTTATATAGAGACACAAGATCTAGGAAAGGTAAAGTTTATATAGGTACACAAGATCTCCGAAAGGTAATGTTTATATAGGGACACAAGAACTAGGAAAGGGAAAGTTTATATAGGGACACTGGAACTAGGAAAGGTAAAGTTTATATAGAGACACTAGAACTAGGGTAAAGTTTATATAGTGACACAAGAACTTGGAAAGGTAAAGTTTATATAGGGACACAAGAACTAGGAAAGGTAAAGTTTATATAGAGACACAAGATCTAGGAAAGGTAAAGTTTATATAGAAACACAAGGTCTAGGAAAGGTAAAGTTTATATAGGGACACAAGATCTAGGAAAGGTAAAGTTTATATAGGTACTAAAGGCCTAGGAAAGGTTAAGTTTATATAGGGACACAAGCACTAGGAATGGTAAAGTTTATATAGGGACACAAGAACTAGGAATGGTAAAGTTTATATAGGGACACAAGAACTAGGAATGGTTAAGTTTATATAGGGACACAAGAACTAGGAATGGTAAAGTTTATATAGGCGAACAAGAACTAGGAAAGGTATAGTTTATATAGGCGAACAAGAACTAGGAATGGTAAAGTTTATAAAGGGAACATCACAATATGGAAATTCAGAGTTTTTATACTATGTATAGAAGATCCTGCTTAAGTTAAAATCTCAGATGAAGTGGAAGTTTCTATTTTGATTTTGTAAGCTAAAACTGTAAGTCAGTTTCTTATATATCGTATAAGATTGAAACAAATGTTTAATGGTGCTTCTTCCCCTGTACTTATATTTTCTTTCCAATTTTGCTGTCAAGTGAACCTACAAACAAAACAGTCTACATCTTAATCAATAAAACTGATTCTTATTCATGTTTTTTCTAGATCTGTGAAAAGAACTGACACATGTATATTGCATTCAATATTTATATTATTCATGTAGGTATGTATGATATTGTGGAACAATACATGCAAGTTGGTCTGATTTTGGATATCAAATGACAAACATACACAATTTTTGAAGTAAATATCCAGGTGAGCGATACAGGCCCTCTGGGCGTCTTGTTGAAGTATTTATTTATTTATTTTTTTCGATTGATGAACTTTGATTGTTTGATGTGTAGTGTTTTGACCTGAAACTTTTTTGTTGACTTGTTGACAGGCCAGTAAGCTTAAGAGCGCTATACTTCCTATAGCCGGAGCTGTGATAGGTGGGATTGTGGCAGGACCTGTTGGACTGTTCGCAGGACTCAAAATTGGTGGATTTGCCGGAGTGGTCGGGGGAGCTGTAGGTTAGTGACTCCAGGGGGTGTTCTAAGATTCCTGGTGATAAGGACTCGCACAGCCAAATCATTTACTATATGTTATTACTAAGCTTTGAGCTAATAGCTATAATATTTGAAGTTCAACACTTTAGATTCATGGATACATGCCAGACAAAGGCTTCAAAAGGCATTTTTTGGCGGGTTTAATATAAGTGCGCTACAGGCGTCTACTTTTGACAACCAGAAGTTTATAAGTCAAGCCGGTGAAGTAGGACGGGTATACCCCCTGACCTTTGACCCCATATCAATCTGCCATCACATATTAAAATCCACAAACACTATATGTTTTGCTAAAGTTGAATATCTGCAGATTTCATTCAATTCATAATATGTCAAAATTACCCATACAAATTACTTAAAAGACACTGCATTTAACCCGAACAAATTTTAGGTAGGGATAACAATCGTATGAAACACGTGCTGATTGACTGATTTAGTTGTGCCAATCCTGATAAGTCAGTAGTTACTATTTGGTATGACCACGAAATACCATCTGCAAAGTTCTCATTTGCATATGAAGAGCAGATGGTGATCTGCATCATCTTCAGCAGGCCAGTGACCAAGGGAATGGAGCGGTTAAGTTGTCTGACATTCTGCTACCACTAGCCCTCCACCACTGGGTCGCGGGTTTGAAGCCTACGTGGAGTGGCCTCCAGGTACTAGCCGTAGGTCGGTGGTTTTTCTCCAGGAACTCCGTCTTTTCTCCACCACAAAAACCTGGCACGTCCTTAAATGATCATACAGAAGCTGTTAATAGGACATAAAACACAAACAAACCAAACAAAAGTAGCCCAGGGCTAGAGTGCACAAACTTATATAGGGTACTTAATATAGCCACTCAATCATACATCTCTTTACCTGATCACCTCCTTCTAATAGTCAGCTTCCACTCTTTGATTACAACAGAATGAAATTATTGAAGTACATGTATCATAAATAATTAAGACACTGAGACATATACCCGTACTATAATTAACATTACCAGGACATTCATAAATTACAATTTGCTAGTAGTTAAATTTGTATATTAAAAGTTCATTCTTCTCAAAAGATTCCTCTTCATTGTCTTTCCAGGTTTCACTGGAGGTAAACTAATTGAGAAAAGACAAAAGAAAGTTGTGGATACGGAACTTCAGAATCTCAGTGGAAAAAGGTCAAATTCCATGCCAGACCTGTCCCACACAGAAAACAAGCCCAGTGACAGTTGGTTTCCATGGAAATGATAGAAAACAAGCCCAGTGACAGTTGGTTTCCATGGAAATGATGGCTTTACATTAGAGGCTGTGAAAAGTTACGATGTTCTTATATTTTAAATATGTTGTTCCTTGTTTGCTGCGAATCAAAAAATATTGTCTATTACATACTGATATGAGGTTCATGCAAAGATATCAGGTTTAATATTCGAACCCAAGGAATATTCTTGAGACAACCAAGGTCCTTTTTGTGGGTGGTCAGATGGCGCACTTGCCTTTCACCAAGGCGCCCGGGGTTGGATTCCCCAATCAGACGTGAAAAGGTTGGGGTCACCTGCCTGGCCATGTGGGTGTTCCCCAGTTACTCCGGTTTCCTCCCACACTAAGACCCCCTAGGGTGTGTGTTAACATCCTGGCCAACAAGAAGGATGAATATAAGTTGATAAAGCTTGTCTCACAATTGCTGTAATATAAATAAAGTTTATATATATTTAAGGCCCTTTTGAAAGTAATTTATCCCATGGTTTGGTAGTTATTATGAACAAAGTGATGATTATATTATTTCCATCCGATCATCTTTTTATAGTGAGTTCAACTTCAGTAAACTGTATGGTGTAGAAAACGACACAGATCTCCGTCAATGTCAGTGCTAATCCTAATTGTGACGTTGTTGACTTAACGTCATTCCTGTTGTGTCCACAAGGAACACAAGTCTGTACCTTTACATACAAAAACACAATGGGTGAACTAATAGAGACACTTAAACATTTCGTTTTAATATTGATGGGGCCAGGGGCATGTGGTACGTAGTGTCACCGATGTCCGCCCCGTCTAGTCCCGTTGTGTCCCTTCGCGTTGACAGTGTGTCCCATCCAATCCTGTTTCTTTGTCATGACTCTACCTACATAGCATTTCTTAACAGATTTTTATCACAATTTATGCGTAGGTCAAGTATGAGATAACCTTGGACAAGTTCGCTTCTCAATTTGAATAAAGTGTGTAACTCTATTGCTACCTTTATAAAAGCTGCAGATATGATATACACAGGAACATAGGATATACGCAGGTGTAAAAGATGTGCATTGATAAGGTTGCCTTACAAGCGTAAGCTGTAGGGAATATTCCTTAGCAAAGTGGTAGAGCATCGGGCTGGAGAGCCAAGGGTTGCGGGTTCAACCCCCAGCAACAGCACTATCTTTATCACTATTCCTCGTTCTACTTCAAGCTGGTGCCGTTGACACTGCTTGTTCAAAGTAGAACCCTTGGCGGGGAGTCAAAGAACTTGGGTTGATGTTTGAAAAAAGGGGGGAATAGTTCAAAAGATGTGCATTAATTAGATAGCCTTACAAGTGTAACAATGTGGATTGTACACGCTCTGTATTTACTTGTTACCTATTCTGTAATGTACATTATTGATATAGTACGTAGATTCTGTAATTGTCTGGATCATGTGACGATAACGTGACATATAAGTACGTTAACACTATATTAAAGTTATTTTTACTTGTTAGTTTTATAGATATTGTTTATATTTTTTTTTAATTGGCTACGTTGATTAATTACATCGCCGATATATAATGATTAAAATTTCTATCAACGGACATTTATGAACTTTTTCGGCCAATCACAATCAAGCGGTCAGTTCATAAGTAAATTCCTGGTTAGCGGTGAGCAGTTTTCAGATTAGTCAGCTGGTCATTCGGACGTACAAATGTAATTGGAATATCTTCAAGCTCACCGGTCTCTGACAAGAAAAATAAGATTTACGCTGTTCGATATTACTCAATGTAGGAAAACAGTGAATTCGTGAATTACTCCAAACCTTCCTTAGGACAAATGCCTTTGTGACATGGACAACGAATAAATGGAATATGGACATGATACACAGGTGTATGTGTTTATTTCTACATGCGACATTTTGGCGTCACATTTAAAAGCCCCTCTGCCTCTGCCTGTTTCGCAAGCAGTTCTTGTTGGCTCTGCAACATGGCCGTTAATGCTGATGGAGAAAAGGATTCTTTAGCTTTGAGTTCATCACTAGTAACGCTAACTTCCTGTTCCGAAACAGAAGCGCTTTTAGAGCAAACTGGTGTAGTTTCATCCTCTGTCCAATGAAGCACCAAATGCCTAAAGTCCGTAAATGATACTTCCCTGTGTTCAAACATGTATCTTCTCATTTCCTGTCTCAGCTGGGTATCGACTACACCATATGTGAATCGTTCTTTCAGCATCAAGTCTCTATCACCAACTATATATCTATCTTTCTTTACAATTCTGTCCATAATTTTTAATAACACCAATGAGTATTCCTGTAATGTCTCTCCTTTTGCTTTGATTTCTTTGTTAAAATCGTTGTTGTAGCTGTCCAACAGTCTCTGCCTCTTGAAATGTTGTTCTGCATGATGATGTCCAAAATTAGGGTCGCTGACGAATTTTCGGTTTCTGACCTAGCTAATACGTATTTCATCTTTAGCTTGTCCTTGTAAGTGAGCGTATAGAAATTTCACTTGAGCGTCACTTCCGGTGATAGTTTTCAGATGGTGTACAGCATCCTCTATCCATTCCTCCGCTGTAGGATACTACTGTCCGTTTGCAATAAGTTAATATTCCGTCAAGATGGTATATACGTATCACACAGATTTAAGGAGTAATACACCCTAAGTAGCGAGAAACATCCCACATAACAACCAATTTTGTACCATAGAATGCCATCCTCCTCAATCAGTCGATCCCACTTCCGTAATATCTTACGAGCGAGATTTGGTTCTTGTCGTAATGGCACAGCAACCCCCAGCAACAGCACTATCTTTATCACTATTCCTCGTTCTACTTCAAGCTGGTGCCGTTGACTCTGCCTGTTCAAGGTAGGAGAACCTTTTGCGGGTAGTCAAAGAACTTGGGTTGATGTTTGAAAAAAGGGGGGAATAGTTCAAAAGATGTGCATTAATTAGATTGCCTTACAAGCGTCAGCTGTAGGAAATTTCCCTTTAGCTCAGCGGTAGAGCATCCGGCTAGAGAGCCAAGGGTCTCGAGTTCGAGCTCTATAGCGACAGCAGTTTATCTTATCACTAATCCGTGTCCTTTCACGTAGGTACAAATGATGTAATCAAGATAGAACTTTAACCTACTGCAGATACAGATGCTAAAATGCAATATAACATAGACTTGATTTAGACATCTTTCAGAAATGTTTTTATTATCTTGATATTCATCTGAAATGGTCCTCACTATATAAAGAAAGCTACCTAGACAATCCTGTATGAGCTGAGATACAGTAAAACTGCTATCTTGACTACCTCTATTAAGGGACCACCTGGGTTAAGAAACCACTTTAAATATTCCTTATTTTAGTGATTTCATTGTGAATTGAACCTGTGTAAAGAGACCGCTTGTGTTTGGAGAATTTTGGACGTCCTGAGGGTCGTTGTCTAAATAAAGGTGACTGTATATATCTATGACCTGCTCCCTACCATCAACTCCCCCAAATAAAAATGTTCAGTTTGCATACATTTTTCCTTATTTTCTGAAAAAAGATCAGGAACTTCCACAGAGATTTAACATCCTCTCAGCCTGTATGTTTATGATAAAAAAAACTATATTTTCCTAATGTGTTATATTGTGTTTGTGATATCATTACTTTTCATTAGTTGATGAGTTTTCTCCCATTGACAAAAATAAGACTGTCAGGGGAGATAACTCTGGTCAGAGGAGAATGCTTTGTTTGAAGGATCCCCGTACCACTGACAGAAACTGTAACTAAACGTTGGAAACTGTTTTTTCCAGCATGACTGTAGCTTTGATAAATCATTTCTAAAAAGAAATCCACACTTTGGACGACATTTATGAAAAGTGATGAAGAAGAAATAAAAATATATAATCAACAACAATATTATGAGTGTAGAAATTAAGTGGGGTAGACCAGGATTTGAATTTCAACAAAGCATCATACTATTGCTCTATTCAAGTGTCCTGGCCCATCTGTGCTACAGACACATCCAAATGAAAGCCCAAATGAAAGCTAAGGGGAGGTTACTGTGTATAGGAAAAAAAACTACAGTGGGACAGGGATCCTTAATCTAAAGGCTTTAAAGCATGCCACCATGGTGTTCACAGTTTGTGTTGTTTTAATTATAAATTGTATAAAATCTTGAATTAACCCTTTCACCACTGTAGACCATAATGGACTCATCCATACCAATGCATGGTAGAGTCTACTGAAGTTAAATAGGGGTGAAAGGGTTAAGAACAACAATTAAACCCAAACATATCTAAACATTATGTTGGATGTGATATTTGTTTGTTATTATTATTAAATTAAAATACCTTATTCCACATTTTATGTTAAAATATGAATTAAATGAGATTTTTGTCTGTTATCTTATTGGTTTCATGATGAACACTTGTAACACATTACACCATCATAAAAGTTGCTAATGTTATGTAAGCAGAGAAAATATAATCGTGTAATTAGTGTTTTGGATTTTTTGTGAGATTCTGTTGGATACTGTGCTATCAGGAATAGCTTATGTCAATGGCTGTATGACAGGCTTTCATTTAACTGGGACTGCTTATTGGTCTACTGTATATAGCATTTTAAATTTGCGAGGTAAATATTTCGCGGTTTTGTATTCAGTATATATTCATGGTGGTTAAATTTTCGTTGTGCACCCGAATCCCATGTGTCATGCAAAGTATTTTGAGTGTCATCATTTAAGGGTTAAACCTCAAAATACAGGTAAACCGTTTTGAAACACTGTTTGTCGTCATCTGCAAGTGACTTCACTCGAATAAAAATCAAATGTGTATGTACCTTTGTAGGAGTAAAATGTAATCAATTCATCATATACTGTGTACGCATAACTATATGTTTGGCCACTTATATGTAAATGTTGTTTTACATTGACTGCCCAGTTCATTTAAGCTTGCATAAAAACATCTGATTAGGTCCGTAAAAGTGGTTAACATCTTGGATAATTTCGCTGGTGTTTAGAATTTGCGGATATTAGTCAAAGCGAAATTAAAACCACCGCAAAATATAAACGCTTTACAGTATTTAGACAAGGCTTATATAT